TTAATTCTACTTCTTGTCAATAGTTGTAGTTGTTTGGATCAACACAGTAAGAAATAAAGATCCCAAACTTAGTTCTCTGAGCTCTTAGTTCTCTGAGAGCAAGCAAGGCTCTTATCATAAATCCCAGACTAAGTCCTCAGGCCAGTTCAGCTTGTCCTTCCTCATGGGAGTCCTATCTCTTAAGCCATAATAGCTTGCACCAAAACCATGCATTTATACTTTCTAGACTGTCACATTTTGATGCTGGGGTAGCTTTGCAACTCGCCTGGGGTCCATCCCATTCCTTTTGGCATGTTAGAAACTACAGCAACTGAAGCCCGAGTGAAGTAATTATGATAGATGCCCAGGAGTAGATATATATCAAAGTCAATCAATATAGGAACTTAGCATTAACGCTCTTTCTGTGTTTAAGCAAAGAACAACATTGCTCTATAGTAAAATATTAAAAGCCTTATAGGGGAAATAGAAAAGCAAGTAATTCACTGAAAATACAAATCCGGAATTACCAGTAAGTTTTAAGTATAAGTATCCAAGACTGACTTGAGGAACTGTCACAATGAGAGGTTAACACACAAAGGAAAGGTTAAAGATAAACTCAGCGGATTAGGGATGGTCGCAAGAGCACTGTAAACTTCTCTGGGAGGAGGAAAAGGGCAATTAATCTATGAAGCTAAAACACTTAGGGTTAATATACAACAGCTAACTAGAAAAAATACTGCCGCTCTGGAAACTAAATGACCTACCAATGGTTATCAATAAAGACAATTTTCATGAGAATTCTTATTACATTTTCTGGGTTTACAGGGGTGTTTATGAGTATATTCTTTAAATATAATTTTGTTATTACTATGTTTTGGTTTGGGGTCATAACTAAACAAACTAGTTTAGTCCTGGCCCTGGGCTTTGGGGTCACTCTTTGTGGTGCTTTGAAGGACCATCAGTGGTGCTAGAAATTGAACCGGGGCTAGATGTGCATAAAGTCTTTATCCCAGGACTATTTCTTAGATCCAAAAGCTAATTTTTTAAAGCTATTTTTTCTTCCATCCTCAGTAAAGAAGGGTAATAGAAACTTACTTCCTCCATAATGTTGAACAATTAAGGAAATTATTGCCTTCAGAATTCCTTTAAGAAAATATAATTTTAGTAAGTAGGGAAATTTCTACTGTGTTTTAAACAATAAAATGTGTATATATGTATAAAATTCTATTACTCTTTGAGAAATAACTGAACTAACATGTCAAATTCTAGGTGGGTTTTCTCTTTCTACATAACCTATGACTATCTTCATATCTAACTATCTTGGAAATATTTTTGAATTTGTTTTTAGACAAAAATTTGTATATCATAGAGCAAAATCAAATTTCTAAAATTCATGTTAAGTACTTGGTTTGAAATATTGACAAAATTATACCTAGCAATATACTAGGAATATTCTCATTTAGGTGTGAAAAATTAGAAAAAGCCCTTAATTTGATTTACCTTTCTTCATTTACAAAATACCTTTTGACTATTCCATATAGATAAATCACTCTGTCATTGAAGTCGTATTCTAGTGAAAACATTTGAAAGTATGTGCTGAAAAATAAAAAATTTTATCTTTTAAGAGATTTTCATTTATCATCACTCATGGTTAATTTATATTTCTATCAAAGTTTGTTTTGTTCCCTATTAAATACAATCAGTATAATGCTTGTTTCTTTTATTTACTATTAATCAGTTGATGACTATTCTATGAAACAAATGTCATCATACATATGTACATTTATATGTATATAAGTAAGGTGGCATATTATTGTTTATCACAAAAAGTTTTCAGGAGGGCTGTGTATCTTTCTCACCTATTTCCTCAATTTTCCCTTTCTGTGAGTAATAACAATCTGAGATTTATCATTTCCTACAAGCTTTATATTCATGATTGTATTCAAATATATATTTATAAATACACATTAAAGTAAGAAATCTAAGACTTTAATATCTCATGTGATCACATAATATACATTTCTCAACGTCTTGTTGATTGTAACACTTGTTAGAAATTTCTTTGAGACATCTAGTAGAGTGATCATTTATTTTTCAATGACTTCCATAATATTGATCCTTGTGTTTATAGCAAAATTTGCTGAAATGTTTTTTAGTAATGAATGGTTTTCTATTTTTTTTCAGTCTTTTCCCTGCATGAACGATGACTACAGTAGATGTCTCTCCCTGTGAAGAGATGTTACTTCCACGGAATGGATTACTGGTCTGAATCTCTGAGTGGCAGAGTCAATGTACTAATCATTTTCTTTTTTGGCACAGTGATTTATATTTTTCATAGTTATGTTTTAGACATACAATATTGTTGTGACTGAATTCCTCCATCACTGTCTCTAGGTCCCCTCTCAAAACTGTCACCCGACTTTAAAAAAATCTAAGTTTCCTGGGTTGATTCATAGGTCTGTTATCATTGTTCACTTTTTATTCCCTTACTGTACTTCCTTACACTTCACATTAAGAAAGGTAATTCTTTATTTTCCTTCCCTTTTGTTCACTTTGCTCAGCACAAAATTTCCATTTTCATCGAAATTGCAGTAAACTTTCCATTTATCTTTTATATTTTCTTTCCTTGTTGCATTACATTTGGGCTGGAGCAATAGCACAGCATAGAGCATTTGCCTTGCACGCAGCCAACATGGCCAACCTGAGTTCGATCCCTCCACCCCTCTTGGAGAGCCCGGCAAGCTACCGAGAATATCTCCACCGCACAGCAAAGCCTGGCATGCTACCCATGATGTATTTGATATGCCAAATACAGTAACAACAAGTCTCACAGTGGAGACATTACTGAGCCCACTCAAGCAAATCGATGAACAATGGGAGGACAGTGCTACAGTGCTAAGGTTGTAATACATTTACTACATAAACCACAGACTATTTATGCATCTATTCTTAGCATGTGGGTTATGTATTTTTAAGTTATTGTCATAGAGAGATAACTCAAAGGGTTGGAGTTCATATTTTTATTCCTGAAATGCAGATTTTTTTCCCCAGCATCACCTGGTCCCCCGAACTCCACTAGATATGATCCCTAGGCATTGCTCTTTAAGTATCCCACAAGTACTGCAGGGGTAGCTATTTCCAATAAACATTACTGTTGAATTGCATTTGAAACCTTAAAAGTGGACACTGTCACCATTAAGTGTGAGGGTGGTCTTTTTCAAATTCCTGTAAACTGGATGTTTTGCAACTCTCAGTGAAAGTGATGTAGTACTGAGATACAGTTATAAAGTTGTTTCCTTGTTCTCTGTCTCTGTCTTCTTTTAGTCACTGAGGTTTGCAATACTGCTATTGAAAGATTATCACAAATATCACTTTACCTTCTTTAAGCACTCAAGGAACTAATATTTTTGGTTTTTGAGTCATATAGAGCAGTGCTCAGAGTTTAGTTCTGGCTTTTTGTGGGCTCAGGGGACCATAGGGATTGACAGGAACAAAGTCAGGTCGGCCACAAGGAAGGAAAACACCCTATCTCTGTATTACCTCTTTGGCCTAAGAACTAATATTTTACCAATATTTCTTTCAAAGTTTTTATCATTTTTCATCTTATTACACATTTAATACAGAAATTTAATTTTAACGTGATTCATAATTAAAGTATACATTTACTGTCTTCAAAATCTATGTTCTTTTATAACTCAAAGATTGTCTTCATAATCTTTGTTCTTATATAACTCAAAGATATTTGTAATATATTTAGAAACATGAATTATATTTCATTCTTTTCAGAATTTTTTGCTTTACAATGTCAGAGATTAACCCAGGGCCTCACATAAGCAAGGTAAGTGCTCTACAGAAAAAATTACTTCCAGGGCTCCTTAGAATGTTTTAATTGTTCTCCTTTTACATCCTTAATCCAGTATGAGTTTTATTTAATTATTTATTTAAACTTTTAAAGAATTATTGCGACTTAGATAACATAGTTACACTAGTGTCAACCTTTTTGTTTGTGATATACAAAGCTATTGCATCACCACTAAAGTGTCCTGAATCTGACCTTCAGCCACTTTTGAAAATAGATTATTTAGTATAGTTTAACTCACACACACACACACACATACATATATATATATATATATATATATATAGTGCTAACATTTATGGTTTACATTATGCCCAGTCTACTCTATAATTCTTCCCATCTCCCTCTAACCTGGTATTCTCAGTAATCAAGGACGAATCAAATGTTCGTCTGATATTTTCTTATTTTGTTTCTTATTTTGTTTCTCTATATACCACATATTTGGTACATGTCCTCTCCATCTGGCTTAATTTGCTCAGCATAATATCCTTCAGTTCCATCCAGTTACAGTGAACTTCATTATTTCATTTTTTTTCTTGTGGCTGCTTAATATTTCATTGTGTACCACAGCTTCCTTATCCATTTGTCTATCTTTTGACATTTGGGTTATTTCCATACCCTACTAATTATATTGAGTGTTGCAGTAACCATAGGTGTGCATACTTCTTCCCAAATTAATGTTTGCTTGTTTGCGGTATAAGTGACTAGAAATGGAATTGCAGATGACATGGAAGATTATCCTTCCTTCCTTCCTTCCTTCCTTCCTTCCTTCCTTCCTTCCTTCCTTCCTCCCTCCCTCTTTCTTTCTTTCTTTCTTTCTTTCTTTCTTTCTTTCTTTCTTTCCTTCTTTCTTTCTTTTGAGAAATCTCCATATCCAGTAGCATTTTACAAAACAAATGACTAGAACAGACCAAACCAAACAGAAATGTTCTGTCTAATTTTTACATATATGTATTATACTTTGCATGTTTTTTCTTTGTTTTTTTTAATTTTCAGGATTAGTTTGCTAATGAAAATTTACTCGATGGTAAATGTTTCTATTCTGAATAAAGAAAAACATATGTAAACAAAAAAGATGTCCTTTTTTGAATCAAATGTGATTATTTTGTGGTTTTTATCCATTTTCTTCACTTTTTTATTGCAGTGAACACTCCAAGTAAACATGATGGAAGCAAACAAGACACAAGTGACTGAGTTTATTCTCACGGGACTTACAGATATTTCAGAACTCCGGCTTCCGCTTTTTCTGGTGTTCTTTGTCATATATCTCACCACCATGGTGGGCAATCTTGGACTTATTTTTCTCATATGGAAGGACTCCCATCTCCACACCCCCATGTACTTATCTCTTGGTAGTTTAGCCTTTGCAGATGCTTGTTCTTCATCTTCTGTTACCCCCAAAATGCTAGTGAATTTTTTGTCTAAAACTCATATGATATCCCTCGCTGAGTGCATCACCCAATTTTATTTTTTTGCTTCCAGTGCAAACACAGAATGTTTCCTCCTGGTAGTAATGGCTTATGATCGCTATGTAGCTATATGTAAGCCATTGATTTATCCAGTTATTATGTCTAATAGCTTTTCTATTCATTTATTGGGCATTTCATACATTATTGGATTTCTTCATCCCATGTTGCATGTGGGCTTGTTATTCAGATTATCTTTCTGCAAATCTAATATAATACATTATTTCTACTGTGAAGTTTTACAACTGTTCAAGATATCCTGTACTGATCCAGCACTTAATATGATCTTGATTTTTTTATTTTCAGTCGTTATTCAATCTTTTACTTTTATGACTATCATAATTTCTTACTCCTGTGTCGTTTTTGCTATATTGAAACAAAAGTCTGGAAAGGGCAGAAGCAAAGCCTTCTCCACATGCAGTGCTCATCTGCTCTCTGTTACTTTGTTCTATGGCACTCTCTTCTTCATGTATGTGCGACCTGGGTCTGGATCAGCTGAAAATAAGGATAAAATGTATTCTTTGTTTTACACAGTCATAATCCCTTTCCTAAACCCTTTTATATACAGTTTGAGGAACAAAGAGGTTTTAGGGGCCGTGGGGAGAATAATAAATAAACAGATCTCTAGGAAAGGTCTTTAAAAACCTTAATCTGCAAAATCCCAAGGTTTGAAGGTAAGCAGTTTAGATTTGACTTTAAATTTTATTCATTTTTAATTTATGTTTGAGTTTGGACCACATTTGATGATGCTCAGGGCCTTCTCCTGGTTCTACATTCAGGAATTACTCCTGAGTGGGGTCGTGGTGGGGAAGGCTAGAGGGAACATATGGGTTGCTGAGTTTTGAATCCGGGTCACTGCAAATAAGGCAAAGCTCTGCAATCCTCCCACCATATACTATTGCTCTGACCCATGGCATTAAATTTTAATAGAGAATTAATATGTAGGGGAGTTTCTTGGTGTTATGTGATAGAAGTCAGTTAAATGAATATATTTTTCATTGGAGGATGTTTTATATTCACTTAATCACTTAACTTTCCATTAGTCATCGATTTGCTCGAGCGGGCACCAGTAACGTCTCCATTTGTCCCTGTCGCGTGCTAGTGCAGCCCAATGGCATCTGTTCGCTCCGGGAACATGAAGCGCCTCAAACCAATCGTTCATGATCTTGACGAAGAAGTCTTGACCATCTGGTAGGTGGGCGGCCACACGGTCTTTTGACATCCCGTGGAATCCAGTCAGTAAAAGCTCTAGTCCAGCGGTCGTCTTTAAATATCATTACGTGACCAGCCCATCTGATTTTTGACACCTTGGCAAATGAGACAGCGTCCCTGATTCTTGATCGTTGATGGATGTCAGAACTCTGGATTCTTTCTCTCATTTGAGTGAAACGTGATATTCCAAGCATAGCTCTTTCTATTCTTCTTTGGGAGACCTGAATAGTGTTCTCGTTATAGTACTCCAAGCTAAATCCTTTGTTTTCTACAAAGCAAAATATACTTTTAAAAATGCATCATTGAGAATTTTCAACTTTTAACTCTACAAATTCTTTCAAAGTTAAAGTAGAGTAGTTTGCATTGTACTGGAACAAACACCTGGATGTTTCTATTGGAGGTTGTTTGATTGAGTCAACATATTACACAGTGCAACTTTACAAGTTTTCAGACTCAACTGAAGTGCCTTAAAAGACAATTTACTTGAATAGTAACTAAATATATGAATAAATAAAATAAAAAGCATAGACTATAACAGTCTGGTAAATTTTTTCTAAGAATAGTGAAACTGGAGATTAGATAAAAAGTGGAATAGTGGGGGCTGGAGTGATAGCACAACTAGTAAATACAATGGGTCTCATTCCCCTGACTCTGAAAGAGCAACCAATATGGTAGCTTTAAGAAGGATGAGGAAGGAGAGGCAGATAAAATCTCAAGGCAACCTAAGCTGCCAAAAAGAAGAACAAAAATGACTATCTGTAATTTCAATACATATATGCTGGCATCAGATGCATCCATCGAGGACCTGATGGTACAAGTGCAAAAGATCAAGTACAACATCATTGGTCTGACTGAGACGAGAAGGCATCAATCACATCATGCCATTTTCGACACTGGAGAAGAACTTTTCCTCAGAATATGCGACAAAAAAGGTATCAGTGGTGCTGGTGTCCTTCTCAACATAAACTTGGCCATGAGCACTGATTCATTCGAATGCCTAACAACCCGAATCGAACAATTACACTCGAATAGATGTAGCTAACTTCCAGCAGTTTCTGTCTTCATTGTCTATGCACCAACATCCAATTATGATGGAGAAATTGAGAAGTTCTACATGGAGCTGGAGAAGATCTATAAAGAAAACCACACTTTCTACAAGATCATTGCTGGTGATTCTAATGCCAAGATAAGACTGAGAAGATCAGCCAAAAAACTCCACATCGGGACCCATGGCCTAGAATGGAATGAACAGGGTGAGAGACCATCTGAGATCATCATATTGACCAAAACCGTCCATGGTAACTCACAGTTTCAGAAGGCCCAATCTAAACGTTGGACATGAGAGTCTCCCAGTGGACGGTTACACAACGAAATTGACCACATCGTATTCAATTGACGGATTTGTGTGACCAATGTCGTCCCAAAATTCCAAAGAGTATTGGGCCACTGTCTCCTTCGTGCAAAATTCTACTTCATGGAGCGGGGAGAAAAGACTGCAAAGTTTAAGAAGAGAACTCCCAGAATGACCACCAATTGGAAACTCTTTGGCACTATTGTGGCAACATGGGAAGATGCCGTCATTGACAACATTGACAAAGAATACGATCGACTGGTTCAGCACCTCCAGATTGTGCAATGAACACCTAGAGAAAGAGAAAGCCACAAAAAGATGCCTGACTTCGAAAACTCTCGAGCTCATTCACCAATGTGGCTTGGCGCAAGCTTCAGGCAACCACAAGCGAACATTCGAGCTCGCAAAGCAGTGCAGAGAAGCGATAAAGGAAGACCTCAAAGATAAAGAGCAGCAAGGCTGGCAGAGGCGGCAAAAGCCCTGGAAAAGCATTCGCAACACCCGCCTGTCCTTCACCAACTACAAGACCAAGATGACTGCCCTCCAATATCCTGATGGATCTATCATATCTTCCAGAAGGGCAATGGAGAAGATTATCCATGACTTCTATTTGGATCTCTTTGATAGCCATGTCCACCTGCCCACATACCAAATTTCATAGGATGAATATGTCATTCCCAATGTTCCCCTTCCAAAATCTGACACGCCATTTTGTTGGTAAAGAAGCAAACAGCACCCGGCCCAGACAAGATCAGACCTGAACACCTGAAGAATCTGCCATCAGTACTCATCAATACATTGGCTCGAATCTTCACATGCAACCTGTCTGAATGCAAGGTTCTGTCCCAATGGAAAACCAGAAGGACTGTAATACTATACAAGAAGGGAGATATTTATGCACAACATTGGCAACTATCGCCCGATCTGCCTGTTGTCTGTCAGCTACAAGCTGTTCACTCAAGTCATCCTAAGTAGGATTGGCAGAACACTAGATGAAGGACAACCATGCGAGCAAGCCAGGTTCCGAAAAGGATTCAGCACCATCGACCATATCCACATGATAACCAAGCTCATTGAGGTTTCTCAGGAGTTCAAGATGCCACTCTGTCTAATGTTCATTGATTTAAAGAAGGCCTTTGATTCTGTTGAGACTAAGCGGTCATCGAAACCCTAGCCAAACAAGGCATTCAAACTCAATACATCAGGATAAGAACACTATTTGGGTCTCCCAAAGAGAAATCAAAAGAGCTATACTTGGAGTATCACGCTTCACTAGAATGATAGTAAGAATCCAGAGTTCTGACCTCCATCGACAATCAAGAATCAGGGACGCGGTCTCATTTTCCAAGGCGTCGAAAATCAGATGGACTGGACACACAAATAGATTTGGAGATGACTGCTGGAATAGAGCCATTACCGACTGGATTCCACGGGATGTCAAAAGGATGAGTGGCTGCACACCTACGAGATGGTCAGACTTCTTTGTCAAGACCCTAAATGATCTGTTTGAGGCTCTTCATGTTCCTGGAGCGAGCAGATGCCACTGGGCTAGGCTAGCATGCAACAGGGATGAATGAAGATGTTACTGGCGCCCACTCAAGCAAATCGATGAGTAACGAGATGTAAAGTGATCAAGTAATCCAGTGATCCTACTGGCATTCAGATTACTTCTAGCTAAAGTCAATGAAAGCTCTATAAACTTAACTGAAACTTCATGTCATTCTTTTAAGTGCTTAGAACAAAGCTGGGTCTGGACAGAATAGATACGCATGCTTCCCAAGGACTTCTGCACTGGTCTCCGGCAATGTAAGACCCAAAAATGGTGCTACTACTATCCAAATCACTGTTGGCAGAAAACTAATGTTCTCAACACTTCCCTAGAAGAATCAAAATTAGGGGTATTTCCTTGATTTAGAGTTCTTTCCAAAAAAAATACTTTCTATCGGCAACACCTTTCTATCTGGGAGATCAACCTAGTTGGAGGGCATGGGATTTGTTATACTCTTCCTCTTCCCTCTCTTCTCGAAAACACAAAGCTTTATTTCCTTAAGATAAAAGCCCCATTGACTTGATAATTTATACTCGTGTGATTGCTATATTAAAGCAATTGAAAAATAACAGAATAAAAAACTACTTAAAAATGACTTAAGGATAATAAAGTCACCATGGATATAATTAAAAAAAAAACATAGTATGAGACTAATCCCTGAAGACAGCAAAGGTCCAGGAGAACTGGTCTATGGCTGGAAGCTTGCCACAAGTAGTTGGTCTGGGTAGAGGGCAGTTAGGATAGAAAATGGGCCACTATGATGTACGACGATGATAAGGTAAAGGTAAAGGTAAAGGCCCTCCCGTTGATCGTCGATTTGCTCGAGCGGGCCCAGTAACGTCTCCATTGGAGACTTTGTTGTTACTGTGTCTGGCATGTCGAATACTCTCGGTAGCTTGCCGGGCTCTCCGAGAGGGGCAGAGGAATCGATCTCGGGTCAGCCATGTTGGCCGCTTGTAAGGCGAACACCCTACCCGCTGTGCTATCGCTAGAAACAATTGATCTGGACAAGATCTGAGTGTTTAAAGTAGGTAAAGGGACAAACATGATAACCTTTTAGTACCTGTAGTGCAAACCATAATGCCCAGAAGGAATGTAGAGATAGATAGATAGATAGATAGATAGATAGATAGACAGATAGATAGAGTCAGTCTGGATTAGGGGGGAGTGAAACTAGGGACATTGGTGGTGGGAAATGTACATTGGTGAAAGGATAGGTGTTGAAACATTGTATGATGGAAACCAAACCATAAACAACTTTGTAACTATGTCCTATGGTGAGTCAATAAAAAATACTATTATGAAATAGATAAATAAATTTTTTAAAAAAGAAAAATTTATAAAGAACTAATATTGTACAAAATTACATAGATAATTTGGTAGAGAAAGAATTATTTCATTAAATGATGCTGCTAGAGTGATAGCATAGCAGAAGGGCGTTTGTCTTGCGTGTGGTCAGCCCGGCTGAGCTGGGTTCGAGTCCTCCACCCATCTTGGAGTGCCCGGCAAGCTACCAAGAGTATCTCGCC